TTTTTTTTTTTTGCTGCATTTTCTCCTCTTCACCTTAAAAATAAAAAATGAAATGATAATTGCCTTTATACAACACAAAATTGGAACTACTTATAATCAAGAAACAGAAAATTAGATATCGGAATGGTGGTGCAGATGACAGAATATAAAATTGAAAACGATATTTATTTTATTACTAATGATGGATATATACATCACTTTATTTCGTTGCTCTTTTTTTTTATCTTTTTTCTTTTTCCTTGCAATGACAATAGTTTTTAAGCACAAAATTGCAGATAAAAAGGAGTAAAAGGAAGAAAGAAAGAAAGAAAGAAAGAAAGAAAGAGAAAGAAAGAAAGAAAGAAAAAGCTACAGATTTTTCTCCATTTAAACAAGCTTCTTGTTACAAAACTTAAATGTTTGTTTTTCCAACTTTTTTTTTTCTCATCTCTTAAGCAACAACTAATAAAAGTTTATAAAGTAATAATTTTTTCTTCCTATCCAAACTTTGCCCCCTAAAAGAAGGGAAAAAAAATGGAAGGAAAGACCAAGATTATTGCTTTACTTATATTAGTTTTACTCTTGCTGACGTTGCTGCTGCTGCTGCTGCCGTTGCAATTGCAGGCAGCGATCATAAACAAAGCCAAAATTTCTTTTTTACCACAAACATCTTCAGTAATCGGACAAACTTCATCTTTTTTTTTTTTTTTTTCAGCTTTTCATCCCATAAACTATTACGACAACTTTAAAGGCAACAGCACTAAATGATCACTGAACAGATCCAAAAAAAAAGAGTTAACTTACAGCAACAAATTTAGGCGCAAAAATAATGATTAAGTTTGGTGTAGTTGTCAAATGAAGGTGCAAAAATACCAATATCATTTGAACATCGCTACGAGCTGTATGTCGTATCACATACCTACAATATCAAAAAAAAAAAAAATTAGTTTCATTAAATATAAAATAAACCAAAAATAAAAAAATAAGAGATAAAAATTTGAAAACAAATTTAATAAAACGAAAGCATAAAAGTCTAATAAATTTAATAAACATTTCAAGTGCAAAATTTTCTATATCTGTCGTTTATTTATAAACTTGTCCTAAAAATTACTAAAAAGATATCTTTTTAAATGACTTTTGACTCAATATAAAAGACAACAATTTTCTTTGATACATCTCATCAAATGCACTTCTGATGTTTTGTTTGTTGTTTTTCACAGTTTTTTGTTGATTTTCATTTTTCAACTTGTAAAAGCAGTTTAAATTACCTTAGAAGGTTTATAAATAGCGTTATGAAGACTTCGATGCAGAATACGGCAAGAAACCTCCATTTTTCGGTTCCACCACAATGCCGTCCCTTGACGCACAAGCGGAGACCGATCATAAGCAAAAGAACCTCAAAGGCGTACCAGGTGAGGCTCCAAGGCTGTGCGGCACATTGCGGCCAAGCCTCATTCTGAACCTCGTTAGACTGAGTTGCCAGTGTCCATACAGTTAAACCCGTTATAGTTATTCCTAAGACATAGGCAATGTACTTGAGAAGGTTTTCCTCCTTTACGAATATATGTGGCGCTTTTCTTACTCGATACTCTTGCACTATCCTGAAAAGACAAAAAAAAAAA